TTCTCCCTCACCGGCCCAGACAGCCGAAGGGGCCCTCACGAAAACCTTCCGTTCCTCTGCTGATTAACAAAACGAGCTCCTTTTTACACGGAGGTGATGCTGGTTTTATAACATTGAAGTCAACTCTTTTTTTTTTTTTTAAATATATTTTATTGATTTTGTTACAGAGAGGAAGGGAGAGAGACAGAGAGCCAGAAACATCGATGAGAGAGAAACATCGATCAGCTGCCTCCTGCACATCTCCCACTGGGGATGTGCCCGCAACCCAGGTACATGCCCCTGACCGGAATCGAACCTGGGACCTTCCAGTCCCCAGGCCGACGCTCTATCCACTGAGCCAAACCGGTCTTGGCCATTGAAGTCAACTCTTATCTTCCGTTTCCTGCAGAGGTGTCCAGAGCCGAAGGCAGAGCCAGGCCCTGCCCACCCGGCACGGGCCCCTGCACGGCCCGAGGCCCCATGTCCACACAGCTGGTCCTCAGCCACCCCACCCCCACTCACCCAGGGGCACTGTGAGCGCCAGCCTTGCCCCAGCCCAGGTCCAGACAGCCTCCCCCACTGAATTCTCCGGGTTAGGGTGGTGTTGTAATGGACCCCGCGGATCACACAAGGACGCCTCAAGAAGTCAAATTAGAGTCACATTTATTGCAAACCCGGGACTGTGAGGGGGCATTTCGCTCTCCCAATTCTCATAGTGCCCTCCTAGCCACAACATCAGACTTATAGAGGCAAAGATCGCAAAGGTACTGATTACATCTTACATCCCAGGGCTTGGAATGAGGAACCTGGTTTGCAAAAGCAGTTTACAGAAGCGGACTTAAGCATGTTATCTCAATTACTAGAGGCCTGTTCCACAAAGAGATTTGTGCAATAGGCCTTCCGTTCCCCTGGCCTCCGGCACCCGGGGCCCAGGCCTTCGCTCTGGCCGAGTCCTGGCTGGAGCCGGCCCCGGAAACGTCAGGCCTCACAGCTCCGCCAGCCACGGCCATCAGGCTTCGCTCCACCACTTGGAGCCTACGTTTGCAAATTAACCGCCATCTTTGTTGGTGGTTAATTTGCATACCATGCCGATTAGCCCATGGGAGGCGTAGCGAAGGTACGGTCAATTACCATGTCTGTCTATTATTAGATGGGAAGGATAGTTTTTGGGTCTCTGATCACTGAGTTGACAGAAACACATTATCTAGAGCCCTCAGGTCTTGGGACCACTGAGTCAACAGGGACACGTTCTCTGGAGCCCTCTGACCTTAGGATAATTGTGCTGTCCTTCCCAGGTACAGAAGAATGTGCTTCGATAACCAGTATGACCACAACCAATGGGGTATTCACATTACAATCAATAGGGTATTCAATCGAATGGGATAATTTATATAATTCAGAAAATCAAAATGACTTTTCTATTGTTAAACAAAGCAAGTAAGTACAGGAGCCAAACAGCAGGGCTAAAGTTAAACTATAGTTTCTATCTGAGATGATAGCTACCATACTTCAGTAGGAGAACAGAGACAACTTTTTTTCCCCCAGAAACATAGCTCCCTGGGTGTCTGGCTATCCCAGCAACAGGAGGCCCGGCCCTCGTCCTCCCACTGGGCAGGGCTGGCAGCACGAGCTGTGTGCTGTGAGCTCTCCGGGAGGACCCAGCTGTGCTCCAATGATGAGAGGGAATCATGGATTGGCTGCCTTCTGCACACTGCACATTGGGGATTGATTCCCACCCAGGGATGTGCCCTGACTGGGAATCGAACCCTGACCTCCTGGTTCACAGGTCAACACTCAAGCACTGAGCCACGCTAGCTAGCCAGGCCAGAGGTGACTTTCTTTCCCGGCTGGCGTTCCTAATTTTTCCGCACTGAGCCTATCCGGTGTCAGAAATGATAAAAGCGGTACAAAATAAAAACTCAACCCCACACTGTTCAGTCACCTGGCTTCACCGCTTGTGTCCCCCCCACGCCCCCCTCCCCCGTGGCTCTCCCTCCCCACTCACTGTGCTCCTGCTGCTCTGGCCGTGGACCTCCTGCCCCTTAAAGGCTGGGGTCTGAGAAGCGCCCTGCAGGGGGCGCTCCCTTGGGAGCGGGGTGTCCGGGACTGGAGAACGCGAGGAGTTTGAGAAAGCACGTCCTGTGCTGTAATGTTATCCTCAGGAAATGAAACAGAACAACACACACAGAAGCCTCCGGACACCCCGCAGGCTCGCAGATGGGGCCTCGCGAGCGGCGATGACTTTATTTTCTCCTTCCTGGTTCCTCCCCAATAGCCGGCCCGGGAAGCCCCTGGGTCAGGGAGAGTGTCTGCCTTGTCCCCATGCCCGGCACAGAGCGGCGCTGCCACTGTCTCTGCCTCCTGGCGAATGATTCTCCCTCTGGAGGCCCAGAAACACAGGCCGTGAGGAAGAGCTTCTAAGGGGAAAGGAGGTGTTGCAGTTCAGTAACCCAGCCGTGCACCCAGATAACCCCATCTTCGCCCAGTGCCCGCCTTCACCCCTTCCTCCCTGCGGCAGAGGCCACCGCTACACTGCTCCCCACAAACTGGACCTCGGTCCCTGTGAGAAGACAAAAGGCTAATCTCAGGGGTCGATATAACCCCATCCCCAATAATGGCCCACAAGAGTCAGTGATTTGATAAAGCCAGTGGGGAATGAAGCCTAGAAACCTCTATTTTATAAAAAAAAAAAAAACTGCTGTTTGAAATTTCCTCTCAACAGAGGTTCTTCGTCCTGTGAGTTAATCCTGCTATTACTGGCGTCTGTAAAACACGCTTGCTCTAATGATAGGGAAAACAGGCTTACCTGTCTGACCTTGCAAACCGCTCCGCTGCTGTCCCTGCTACCCGCTACCAGGTTCTTTTACTTACCCGTACCGCAGGCTACGGACTGTGTGGTGCTCTCAAGGCTACAGGCTTCCTGCGAGGTATCTGTAAGCATACGTAGGCCTCTCTTGAAAACTTGCAAAAGGGACCGGAGGCCCCATATTTAGGAGACAAAGGCATTAGAAAAGATATGAAAGACAAGCTTCCACCAGATTGCTTTGCTCAGAATTTGAGAGACAACCTCCTCTGAGTCCGCCGGCGTAATAAAGCTGTGTACCTCCATTTCTCTAAGGGTTGCTTGGTTTTTCTCAGGTCTTCTCTAATACCTAAACCCCAAGAGCTCCAGCCTGAACACGGGCTCCCTCCAAAGTGGCCCCACCTCTAAGCTCTAAGCTGGAAGTCTGTGGCCGGGCACCTGCACTAGGTCCCTCCCCTGGACCCCGGCAGGCATCGCCCAGATGGGGCCTCGCTCCAAGGAGTTCCTGAAGCTCAACTATTGAGAGCCGACTGTGTCCCAGGCTGCGGGGCCCCTTCCCAAGGGCCCCCCAGGGAGTCAGGACTGGCCAATGGCAGGGCACAGGTATAAGGCCACCATAACCAGAAGGTATCCTCAGACCGAAAGACAAAGCAGGGTCTCCACTAGAACACGTCAGAATTTATTGTAGGGTGACTGACTTCCCGGAAAATTGGGTCAGACACCAGCAATTCTGCACAGATTATGCTGCACTACCAGCTACCAGACCCGTTACAGTGCTGTTTGTACAGTACAACTGAAACAGGAATTTTAGGTGAATATAGGCAGGCTTAGGGAATTTTTAGAATTGGGGTCCATGGAAAAACACAGGGCTACAGATTGGGAGAAGGTACATCTCCATAACACAAGGAAGCCAGGTGCAGGGAGCAGCAACAGTTGCATTTGCATAAGACAAGGGAGCCAAAAAGGTCTGTATTTACAAAATAAAGAAGGAAGAAAGCCAGAAAGAAAAGAACAATGAGGAGGGAGGGCAACACGTGTCCCATGTGGTGTTTGACCTTTGAGCTCAGGAGGTATTGTAGTAACCAGTCTAAGGGAATAGTGACCTATCAGAGGGGACATCAAGGCACCAGGATCTGCAGCCTTTATAAGCCATAGGGAAAAGGAACTCAGTGGGACCTTTTCCCCACCCCACGTGGGAGTCCATTCTGTGGGACTCTTTACCTCTCCCCACGTGGGAGCCTGTACTTGTTCGTCAATAAATCTCCACCTTTGTTATACTACTCTCTGTCCGTGGGTTCGTTCTTCGACTCTGGCGGACAAAGAATCCGGGTCCAGTCCAAAAATTCCGTTTCACAACCAGCTAATGACTGACAAGACACAGGGATGAGGACTGCAGGAGTGCCAGGGCCACACGTCCTGGTGGCCTTGTGACAGACAGGTGACTGCTTATAATGGACACTATTTTGGTATTGATCTCAGTTGTCATGCCATCCTGGCTGCTACTAACAATACTATTCGTGGCTATATTTTCAGGAACGCAGCGGATCATCAACTAGAAGGCTTTGCTTTCCTTGCGAACGACAGTGAGCCTGGTCAGAGGTAACAGAGATGGAGTTGGTTTTGTTCATTTTTTTGGGGGGGGGGGGTTGGTTTTGTTCACATCTACATTTGTACGAGGGCTCATGCAACCTGCCCCAAGCAGGGCATTAAAGGCACAGCACTGTTCAATCGTTCCATAATAATTTGACTTGCTGCCCTGTTAAGGTACGTGACTTCCTCTCAAACCTCCAAACACAGGGACGGATGCTACAGGCTATTGTGTTTTACCTCCCGAGGTCTGGGCAGCCCAGGGACACCCCTTCCTCGAGGTGACACCTGGTCATA